CTATGCTTAGGCATTAAGCACATACGGAAGTGCTTGGTACTGAAGCATGGGAATGTAAATTTTCCCAGCAACTTAAACGCTCTGCTTCTGAGCATTCATAAATCCATCTCCATTTCACGAATAACACGCACATCAGCAACTGGCTGTGTCTGAGCTCATTCATATTATCAGTTGGGTTGTCTTCACATACCTGCTCTGGTAGATGTCTGCTCTTGTGAGACCCCACCTGGAGTACTGTGTTCAGCTCTGGGGCCACCAACATAAGAAGGACATGGACCTGTTGAAGCAGGTCATGAAGATGATCTGAGGGCTGGAGCATCTCTGCTGTGAAGACAGGCTGAGAGAGTTGGGGTTGTTCAGCCTGGAGAAGAGAAGGCTCCAGTGAGACCTTCTAGCAGCCTTCCAGTACCTAAAGAGGGCCTACAGGAAAGCTGGAGAGGGACTTTTGACAAGGGCATGTAGTGATAGGACAAGGGGTAATGGCTTTAAACTGAAAGAGGGTAGATTTAGAGTAGATCTAAGGAAGAAATTCTTCACTCTGAGGGTGGTGAGGCACTGGGACAAGTTGCCCAGAGAAGTTGTAGATGCCCCATCCCTGGAAGTGTTCAAGGTCAGGCTGGATGAAGCTTTGAGCAACCTGGTCTAGGGGAAGGTGTCCCTGCCCATGGCAGGGGGGTTGGAACTAGATGATCTTTAAGGTCTCTTCCAACTCAAACTGTGCTCTGATTCTACGATTCTACGTGCTGAGTCTATGACGTGCATCCTGGCAAACACTGCCATCGTATGAAGGTCTCCAGTTAATATAACAGCCCACCCATCTGAGCACTTGTTCAGCGTGTTCAACACCACGGTTCAATTTGCTTTTCTATCTGAGGGGACTTAAAGCCACACTTGCCATCAGGCTATGGACTGTGCCGATCAAGGGGTACCACCCATTTGTCCTGTCGGAGCTGTCTGTTTTGCCAGCACGCAGAAGGGGGAGCACAGCTTCTGACAGATGAACTGACCTCATCCACTGACCATGCTCTCTGCGATTGCTAGGCTGCTTTGCCTTCCGGGTTTAGTCCAGTTTTCCAGAGTCATTTTGTCATTTTGTAATTTTGAAACAGCTTAAGCCATTAGCAGGACAGAATCTGCTCTTCTAAGGACTCCTTCACGTACAGAATACCAACCTGTTGCTGGAGGTAGTCCATCCTTTCTCCAAGCGTAGCAAGTTTTACAAGGCTACTCAGGTCTTCACCGTCTTGCTTCTGATGACTGTTACGGCTGGTCTCCGAGTGCTGCTCCTTGTGACGTGCATTTGCTTTGTTCCATGCGCTTTTAAACGCTGGGGTAAGACTGCAACTGGGTGTTTAAATGCTATTACAGCACAAAGCCAAGCCCTGGGACTTACACAACCAGAAATAAGGTTGTTTGAACTTGTGCATAATAATACACTGCTAATTCTGCGGTCCCACGGGACCGCAATTCTGTGGTCGCTGCTGACTTCTACCCCATCCAGAATATGGTATGAAGTAGCAGATTTATTTTTATGTGGCACTGATGGTCTGTCCTGACACTTCAGTGAGACAAAGATCCAAGAAGAGGACAGACATCTCTGCATGCTTCTGACCTGGTGTGAATACCTGACCTGGGGAACAGCACTGTATTTTTGGATATCGTACAGGCAGGAAATAAGAGTAAACATGGCATGCAAGACTAATGTTCAAAATACTGCACAAGCATAAATTAAACTTTCCTCTAACGAGGGGAAAACGAGGTACAGATGAAATGATCAACTTTTAAGCTCACAGAAATAACAGAACTGGGTTAGAACTCGTAATCTTAGTCATAATTTCCTCCTTTAAATTGTATCCCCTCTCCATAATTGTCTTCTGTGGCTTCACTCATCTCTCATGCAACGGGAAAAAGTTATAAAATAACATTTCAGCTGTGCTTCATTAGCTTAGATTCTGCTGTCCAGGGGGAACTATTGCAAAGGGAAAGATCTCAGATGCAACTCTGATCTCTTCAGGCAGTGGCATCTACTAACAGTGAAATTTCTGGAATTAAAACAGGGTAAAAGCAGCCTGGTCGGGATGAGGTCTATAAATCTGTTTCTCAGCTATCTACATTCTTCTCCTGTTTGTCACCAGTCACACCAGTCACCACGTAAGCAAATGCACACAGATCACACACCTAACTGACCTTCAGACTTTTGTCTTCAGCTATGTCCTCAACAAACTGAGACTGTTCTACAATTCTTTTTTCTTGTAATCACCTCAGTTCATTTTCTGTAAAGGGCACCTGCAGTTTATACTGGCCACCACGAGCAGGTTAAAAAAAGCTAAACAATGGCACTCGCTCCTCACTTCTCTTCGTGGCAAGAACAATTTATTCAGTACAAGCCACGTGGAATTTTACACAACATTTTCAAGGCATTAAATACTGCCATCCTTCCAAGGAACGCTGCACTGCATATACAAATAGAAAACCTCATGCCTATTGAGTCATTTTCCTCTTAATCTCAAATAGCTTCTCACGACCTACACAGGATTTCTCACGTGGCTCTACTCCATAAATTGCCGCCTGTATGCTACCGTTCTGTACAGTTGCCAGGTACAGATCAAATAGAAAGTACACTTGAGGTCATCCCATCTCTACACTCAGTTTTTCAACGAAGACGGCAGAAAATCTGCTGTTAGCACCACTTCCTTGGCAACAGAAGTGAAAAACAGGAACAAAAGATGTTGTATCAAGAATCCTTTAGACAAAGGTTCAGTTTGGCAGGCCGATTCAGCATGTACAAGGGCCAGCCTACAGTACAACTCCAAGCAGAACTAATAGTTTTCCTGTACCATTCCTACCACTTGGATTTTCCAAAACCTCTCCACTAGAGCTTGTTTATTCTTTTTAGTATCAAAGACCAATTGGTTATTATGCTGAAAAGTTTGTGTGTAATCCATTGAGGACTGAAAACACACAGATTCAAACAACAAAAGGCAAAAAGCTTAATTGATTTCCTAGAAATTGCTGGCAGTTTTACACAAGTGGAACTAAATTAAATGGTGTCTTTGTGTTTTGGCAAAGTAACAGGAGAATTGTTACTCGGGCATGATTTTTATTAACAAAGAGTCTGAAAGTATAAGCGAGATGATTTGCTCAAGAATTTTTGGTGTTCCACCGGTTACTTGTTGGTAGATACACTGACTGAAGAAAGAAAATGATAAATAAAAGTACCAAGTACGTAACACAGATCTTTTTCACAACACAGATAAGTCTCATGACTTATAAAAAGGAACACTTCTTCTACCGCACCTTTCCCAAACAGAATAGTGGTTAGAGCACTTGCTTTTCTGGGACCAGAGTTTGATTTCAGCTTAAGGCCAGTAATGTAAAACGAGCTCTAACAGGATTAAACCAGCCCCTTCTAGATGAATTTACATCCTTCTTTTCTAGAACACCAAATTAGGTCACATCACTTGCATGATTCTTCTTTAGAAGCTGCTGGCAGAGGAAAAGAAAGCATTTGACAGTTCAGCAATAGATGTTTGCTGGGTCACTTACATGGCTTCTGTACAGCAGGACTCGATAAAAATACCAAGCTAAGAGTTCGTTAATTACATGGTGATTTCATAAACATCATGAACTGATTAATATTCCTTTGATTCTCTGTGAGAATTTTCAATTACAGTCTCCCCAGAACAGAGCTTTGCAATCTTCACATTTATCAAACAGAATGATAATAATTTTTTTAAAAAGTCACACTGAAAAAAAGAAAACAATTTGATTTTTATTTGGCTTCTAGAATCTCCAGTTTTCAAGTGTAGAGTTTCAGCAATACGTAGAGATTTCACATTCAAAGCCAGCTCTGCAAAAAAGAGCTTGCCCCTTGCTTCCTACAGAACAGAGCTGTGGACTTCAGAAAGCTACCTGGGACTCTCACCGCCCCAGCTGCTTTGCTTCAAGCCTGACTCTTTGGGCAACCCCAAGAATTCCACTTTCAGACAGGACTTTCCCTGCAGCCAGTCTCTGCACTGCAAGATTGCTCCCAGGTGCCTGGGTCCACAGCTGAGTTCAAAAAGCTTGACTGTCCATGACAGAGAAAAAGCAGTTCCCAACCTCCCCCCTGCCCTTATCACCCCATCATGGAAAGACAGGGGGGTAGTGGCTCTTTTTTTTTGCCCCCACTGGATTCAAGTTTCTCCCAAGAAATTTCATAGCTGCATCTTCAGCTGTCTCCCTGGCATTTCTGATTAGATTGTTGAGTCATAAAATATTATTAATTAATAAGCAGCAAAATATACCTGTACGCCAGAGTCCAGAATGCTATAGTTGTTCACATGACAGACTTGTCAATGTGAAATCTTGAAATAAAGCAAAAAGTTAACATACGGGGAAAAAAAAGGAAAAAAAAAATATATTTTTTTAAAACACTTCTGTGATTTACAAAGTGCAGCAGGTTAAAAGCTAGTTTTATGGCCTTCATTTTGTAATGGTAAAATGGTAAAAATCAGGCAATGATACATTTTATTTTGTGGTCACTGTGACCCTGGAAAGACAACTGTGACTAATTACGTCAAAGTTACTCTAAGGAGACACCTGACATTGTTCATATTTTTTTTAAATATCACTGAGCAAACTCAGAAAATGTTTTTAAAACTCAACAACCTGAAGCCCACCAAGAAGATCCTATTCCTACCATAAGCTCTTATTCCTACTACTTAAGAATCACTTATATTTCAGTATTCTACACACAATAAGCTACACTGAATGCCTTTTCAGATAAAGGTGAAGAATTCAACATTAATACTCTACTGAAACAGAAAGCAAGAGGTAAAAATCAACTGCTAACATCCAAGTACAGACAGAGTTTATCTTTTATTATGACAACGTGGTTCTTTGAATTGCAACAAATACCACTTCAGAGCCATCATCCCTCAGAAAAAGAGACATCGCATTCCAGAATCTCTGTAATCTCATCCTTTGTCAACAGGAAACATCTTACTGCTGCACAAAATTCAGTGCTTAGAGGTCAGAGTTAATGTAGAGGATACTCTGAAGATTTGTGGAAGCATGTTACTCAGTTGGTAAAACATTTCCTCAGAAATTGTCTGGAAAAATAAAAAAAAACCCACATGAGTAAATCTTGACTTTTTGCTGTAGTTTGGAAGAATTAAGTCTCTCTCAACTTTGCTTCTTGACATCTTTGTTTCTTGACAGAGAATTGCTGTTTTTCAGAAAACCACGAAGATAATTTTCAAGCTATGTGTTACAATTCTATTTAATTCAATCAAAAGGAAAAGATTGACCTAAAAATATTGTTCGTATATTTCTGTGACATATCTGTTTCCAGTAGATTTCTTGTTCCAGTAATTGATTATTTCTGCCTTGTGTAAGCAGGACAGTGCTGTTTATCTACAGGACTCTTGCTCTCTGAATTCCAGGATTAGACTCAAGTTCACTATTTACTTTATTCTTGGCTTCCTCCTTGCTCGGCAGTTTACTACTCTTTCAAGAAATACATGTTATTTCTTTCCTAATATAACTTTGATTTTTATATTACTTCCAGTACTGCTTTTTAGAACAAATAAAATTTAGTGCCGGACACCTTTGGAAGACTTCCTGTTCCTGAAGATCAGCTAGAACTCCAAATTAAATAATTTCAGAATTTAATTACAATTAACTTCAAATACCTCGAGTCATTAATGATTTTGTGGAAGCATGACTGAACTCAGTGCATATTGTTAGACAATATGACTAACAAACACCTAAACTTATGTAATGCAAGGTTAGCCCATCTCTTCAGAGTAAATAACAGCAAAAAAGTATCTTTTTCAAAGGTGACGTATGCACTGTTTGTAAAGGTGAACTTCCCAGTCTGAAATTTTAGCATCTTCAGAAGATACTACAGGATATCCAAAAAATATAAACTCCTTATTCCTGCTCTATAGGCAAAGGGCCAAAACCACAGTGATTAATTTAAGCTCACACAAAAAGAGCAGAGCAGAGCAAAGAAATCCAAATTAGATCTGCTGATATTTAACTTCTTGTTCCAACAGTCTCCTAGGTTGGAAACAAACTTGGTTGTTTCCCTGAGTGCCCACAAGATTTAACATCTATGTTAAATCTTAACCTACCTGTGGTACCAGGAATTGTACAGTCCGAGAAATTCCTCCATCCCACGAGGCCATTTCCATCATGAAACCTAAAAACCAGCATTCATACTGTATGAATTACCTATGCAATCTTCTCCGTCAATAACATCGTTATCAAGCAGCAAGGGAGTTTTCACATGCAATTAGGATTTTAACTGCCTTAACTAAGGATGTTATTAATTGCACTTAGATCAGACTCAGCCAATCTCCTGACTGAAATCTGCTTTAACTGGAAAGTCTAATGAGGAGTTATGGAGAAAATCAATGTGCCTTTGAAAAGCAAAATAACCAGTCCTACAGTATAGCACAGTGCTAGCCAGCAGAAGCGAGAGGTTTCTCCAAACATGCCTGTTACGAGTTCTTTCAATGGCTTGCTTGCATTGAGAAACAGCTCTTTCCTTTAGCTCCGATGTGATCACATCCACGTGAATGAATACAAGCTTGTTGCCAAAAGCACACTGACAATATGGCAGCAACACAGACTACCCAGATTTAGTTTTAAGGAAAAAGCTCAGCACTCGTTTACTGCTCAATTACGATACGACAGTTGCATGCTAGCATTTCCTTACTGTAATAAATGAACTGCCAGGTCTACAGGAACACACTCGTGGCAAATGAAGATACTCAGATGTTGCGGACTACTGATGCCTCAATCTTCGGGGATCACAACCCAGAAGGTCGTTGTGATCTTCCTCGTATATCAGAAGGCTCTAACACCCTCCAAAGGTCCTTGTCACAACCAAAGGTTTCTAACAGAGAGCTTCAAGACGCTGCTCTCCAGGGGCTCCTATCACTCCAGTCTCCAGGAGGGAACTGCCCCGACGAATCACGTCGGGGTCACCAATTGTTGCGGACTACTGGTGTCTCAATCTTCGGGGATCACAACCCAGAAGGTTGTTGTGATCTTCCTCGTATATCAGAAGGCTTTGTCACACTCACTCCAAAGGTCCTTGTCACAACTAAAGGCTTCCAACAGAGAGCTTCAAGATGCTGCTCTCCAGGGGCTCCTATCACTCCAGTCTCCAGGAGGGAACTGCCCCACTCCCTCCTGGGAGTGCCCCACCTTTAAACCTCCATGAGTCACGTGGTTTCCGGTTGACCAACGTGACTCACAGCACCTGTCCTAACAAGGCACAGGTGCTTTCTATTGTAGTAGCCAGGAACTCCCCCGACACTCAGAAAAACCCTTTTATAATGGAAGTGGCTAAATGGATGATATTCCATTTTGAATTACTAAAGGTCACAATAGGACGAGGTTCCTCGAGAAGGTGGTAGCAAGAACATTAACACTACTAACATTTCAAATGCTCTAAATGACTAGTTTAAGTATTTAAGTACAGCACACAAGAATGCAGCAAGCAATAACACCACTTGGAAAGACATAAAACTAAGTTGAGTTATGAGGACTTTCCATCAAAGAGATGAATTAGCGTATCAACTAGTCTTGGAAAACTGTGAAGGGGGAGACATTGTTTGAGGCAAATCAAAATTCCAGGACACTGGAAATTATACCGTAGGGAACTACCAGCTCTTGCCCTCATTCAGAGATTGCTCAAAGTAGCAGTAAGCGCTTTTTCTTCTACTGTCTATGTTTAAGACATAAAGATAATTTAAAAACATTTTTAGTCTCCATTTTAAGTGTCTGAGACTACTTCCTGGTATGACAGTTAATCATTTTAAAGAGAAAATATAAGTGTATGTTTTAGCAAACAATAAATTATTGAAAAATATCTTTTTTGGGGAAAATATACAGCTTGAGCTAAGGCTGGATGTCACCAGTGCAACAAAAAATCCAGCTGAAGCGTTTACTAACATACCTTTGACACACTTGAACACAAGTTCCGCCCTCTTCAAGCACCATGGAATAGTCATTTCCTAAAAATCAAGAAATGAAAAGCCTCAATGCCCAATAGATCTAACCAACAAGAGTAGCAGGGAATTTATGAAAAATAAATTGGTTTTGCCACAGAACCACATCTTCCCAACAGGTATTCAAGCAGCATTATAGGCCATGAAGAGCGATTTAGTTTTCCTGAGTATTCTAGGCAGGTGGCATATACCTTACAGGTGTCCAACCATAAAAGCACTGCCACTGCTTATTGGTAGGAGAGTCCAGTATCAGAACAATCTATCCATTTTGAAGCTGAGACGTTGAAGAAAAATATTGTTGACAATCCTATTAATGTAATTGGAAACAGGGTTATTAAATTCCCCTGTGGAGCTACAGAAAAATGTACAATATTCAACGGATAATTGTCAGATTTGTGCTTCAGCTCGCCAAAGACAGGCTCCTGACCACATCTTTACAGTAGTAACTGATGATTCCCAGCTATTCTTGATGATTCTGGTTAAGGTTTATTGGCATACCTGCCTCCTTCAGTAAAAACCTTCTCTCTAATAATGGAACTGGAAGAAGCCCTTCTCACCTAAAGATGTATTTATGTTAAGAGTCAAACCAAACAAAATCCATCTTCATCTGATGAAAGAATTTCAGATGTAAACAGACAGCAAATTCTTATCTAAAGTTAAATACCAAGATGGGATATGAAAAACACACTGGTTGAAGATACCTTAAGATATGGCTACAAGCACTGGTCTAAATAATTTCATTAGCAGTTTAAACGCTTTAGTACATTAAACATTCTTTGGCTGTATACTACAAAGTGAATTATATCAAGATGAATATTCCTAGTCAGAGATAGAATGACTGTCACTGTAAACACCTCTCAAAGAAAATAGTACCTATTTATTTTGATGTACTCTTCAACATCAAAATGAGTACCTTCTAGTCTGAATACAGGAATATAGACATGGTAACAAATTTATCACACTATATACATTTTCCAATTTATACTTTACATAATTTTCTATTCAGTAAAGTCAGCCTTCATTTTGCAATGCCAAACATTGTGCCATCTGTCATTTTCAAAGAGCTTAATTTCAGGATCAAAAAAAGTTATTTGAGAAGCAAGGTTATCTAAGAATGCCACCTGATAACACTGAAACAGCACACTCAATGTGGCTGCATTAAACAACTACTGCAAGCCAAAGTGAAAGTTCCTACTTAGGTGGAAGTATCTCCTGCCATTCCCAAAATATGTAATATGTTAAAAACCAGCATAAGCTAGGAATATCTTTTCAGAAAATTCAGAAATAATTATTTCATTATGTAAATCACTGCATTAATAGATGCTGCTTTTAGGATATACAACACATTAATCAGAATAATGCTGGATAATTTTTTTGTTTTAATTTCTAAGCTCTCTGGAAGAAATACTTGGTCTTTGTTATAATTTCTCTGCCTATGTGTGCTTTCTGTTGCAAGTAATGTATGCATTTATTGTTAATTTTTATGACTGTTTTGCCTTAGGTAAAAAACAAGTGTTTAAAAAGAAAGGTCCTGTTGCTCTGAAGGCAACTCAGGAGTACATTGCGTAATCAATAAAGGGAACTAAGCCTTAAAAGGGCTAATCAAAACAGCAGGATATGACAGTATTCCTTGGACTACTTCAGAGGAACATAGATGTTAAATCTTGTGGGCACTCAGGGAAATAACAGGTTGAATCCAGAATGTCACTGAGTGCAAGCCACAAGAACTGAAAATGACGCAGTAGTGATTCAATTCTAATCCAACTTTAAAAACATAAGTTCTCATGATTTTGCCCAATTATCAGGATTCTCCTCTATATGCAAACTAAGTAACAGCTGTGGAAGTGATGAAGGACCAGCTAAGCACCAATTCAAAATACAGTGTGGGGGACAGGCGAAAAAAAAAGAAAACATCCCATGTCCTATAGTGAGTTTTGGTTAATAGCATTCAAGTTCGTAAAAAAATACACGTGGGACTTTTGGTTTTGTTCACTAGTGGAGACTACACCTCACTCCTTTATAGGACGTAATGATTTGTTGTCCAATTAAGCTTTCCTCTGCTTATTTATAAAAAAAAAAAAAGGCCAACTTCACTGATGAGAAAGATCTCCTGCAAACCTCTTCATTCAAACAAATTTGTGACAGACTCGAAACACAGGGCTGCCGCTTACAAAGCTAAGGGCTTGTGCCTTTGCAGAACAACGTCATAACCAGGTAATGAAAACACTAAAGTCCATAAATGTCTTCTGGGACAAAGATTTCAACCCAAATTTCAATGGTTAACTTTAGTAAGTTAAGAATTAGCAATATGTTTTCTCAAAGTGTATCTATGCAAATCCTAAACACTGTATGAGCAGCTATACATTTAAAGGCAGGAAACTCAGATGAGAAATATCTGAGATTAAAACATCCATCAATAATCTCCCTATATACATAACCCATGTTCAAAAACATTTGTTACACAGCTTATACTCCCTCCATTTCTACTTTTTTTCCAAATGCTTTTGTCTTAACTTAGGGTAATAGAGACAGCTGCCTGAGATCCCTGAAGAGTCACATTTTTCTCAGTTTTGCTATGTGGACAGCAGCAATGGCTCCTACGTTGAAACTACAAAGGAAGCGTGCCAGCTCTAGCATTTTTAGCTATGCCATGCTATTAGAGCCATTTCAATCCCCAGTTTATATATCAGTTTATATTAGATTCAGAACAGTGATCAGACGGTAACTCTGTAGTTGTTCTGAATTTGAACTTGTCTGCTTTTGCCTTTCTCAAGTATCAAACCCAGTTTCTCTCCTTTGTTTAACTTAAGGATCAGAATAGAGAAATCTGCTTTTGTTGTTCTTGTCATAAGAAAAATTAAGGAAAACAGAATTCCTATTTTTTTTTCATAGAAAAAATTAATAAGCTTTACATGAAGGTCCAATAACAATGAAATGTAATGGCTTCATTGAGACTGACATACTCATCACTTCTGTGAGGTTATAAACACTGCTCTTTCAACCATAAAAGAAGAAAATCTTTGGGAAAAGCACACAGAAAACTCATGATGAAGGCCTGTCACAATGAAGCATGCAGACATCTCTGCAGCTGTGCTCCTGGTTAACCACTTTACAAAAATGTTTTTATGTAGGTGGTAAATGCAGATTCAAAACTGGGGCTGCTGAAGGCACCAAGTTCAGGTTAACTTTCAGAAATCTGTTATTGTTCACTTCTCCCTCAACAAGTTACATATTTGTGTGTTTCAAACTAGGTCAGCCAGCTGCAAAGCACTGTAATAGGCAATGCTGCTAATGCAATTCACACAACGCAGTTTTGGCTAAATATACACTTACCATACAGGTCACCTTCAGCTTACTTTGCAAAGACTTAAAATATAGAAATATACCTTAGACTTAAATATATAAAATATACCTTCATATAAAAAGTAAATTGTTTTACCAGGACCTTTTAAGAATCCAGTGTTAGACAAGAAGGTGGTAATTCTTCAGTTTCACACATCCAAGTAATAACACTCTCAAAGCACATTGAAGACTTGGTCTTGTGGTTTGTTTGTGTTTTAAAACACAGATATGCAGATGGAAGCTAAAACTAACCAGGTTTAAAGAAAAAAATAATATAGCCAGATGGCAACTTGATTAAGAAAGAAGGCCAATACCTTTATGAAACGCAGTGACTGAGTTCCATGAGCAACCCAGGCTGCTGTCCTGCAAGGTGATTACTTGCATTTGTGCCCCAAAATAGGTCTTGATACCAGAGATGAAAAATTTTGGAAATAATATGATCTGTTTCTAAAAGTCTACTTTTATGTGTAGAAGTATCTCCTTTAGAAGCCTCATTATTGGATGTTTTAAACTTTTGTATTGCTTGCACTTTGACAACAGTAGACTCTGATCTTGCAAAAGGGGGCTACTTCTACACTGTGTTCCAATCAAATTCTATTAGGAAAAAAAAGTCACTGTTAAAGATAATCCAGTGGTGAGCCTTTACTATGCTATGAGTCAGGTACTCTCTAAGAAGGAAAGACAGCATTGAAATTTACAAGGGAAAAATCAAAGAGTATTTAAAAAACCCACCACAGACCATAATTATCTGTGAAAGGGATATCAGAAAGGGTATCAGAAATGGCAGTATTATCTTATTTTTCTCATTTTTAAAAAAGTTTTTTAAGTTTTTTTTTAAGTTTATAGACTTTTCACCCACTAAGGAGGTGAGGCACATGGCTGTAACTACCTGTCCACTGCTTCTCTCCCTGCCTCCCCACTCCCTTTTCTTCTCTGCTAGCATCTTGTGCACCAGATGTGACAGAGGAAAGAGGCTGTTAATGGTATTAAGTTACTATGCACTGTGAAAAGTTAACAGTTAAGTAAGAGTGAAGTTCTACACATCAGTATCTCACTGAAGGAGAGAACACAAAAGCTCAGCACAAGAAGCAAGCACACTTGTATCTACAAAAAGCCTCAGCAATATGCTGCTTCTAGCCCAGTTGGTACTTGGGGGACTTAGAGAGGAAACGGGCAGAAATTAAGGATGCAAGTGATTAGGTAGTGAAGAAAGAGACAGTTAAGAGAAAAGGTGAAATTTGGTTGCTGCTGCGTAGGGCTGAGGTGATAAAGAGTGGTGTTTAGGGATACAGAACTCTAAGCCAAGCTTTGCTAGTTCTGCTGCTCATAAAACTTAGTTTTAAGATTTTCCAGCTAGCAGCAATGAAAACTGGAGATCTGGTATGACTACCACATCAGTGACTCTGAAGGTACAGTTTCTAAGCAAGAGCTGTTGCCGTAAGACTTCCAGGCACATAGTCCCATCTTTCGTTAACACTTGTGCAATGAGCTGGATCAAGAAAGTGAGGTGTCCAAAGTAGAGGGGTGAAAATAAAAAACCAAAGTGATTTAACCAGCTGAAATGCTTTTAACTGTTTCAGTTCCTTAATTTGGGTCACCATATAGATATGAGTGCCAGCACAATGAAGTGGCAGGAGCATGTGACTGGGATAAACTGTCCCATTTCGCTTAAACCAGCATTAAACATACCCTTTGCAAAAATCACTTTTGTTGCATCCTAGAAGATAAAACCAAACCAAATATTTACATTTACTTACTTCTGACATATCATGGACCAATAGGAGAGGAATACTGATGGTAGTAATGTCATGTGTGCAGCAAACTTTGAGAATGTTTCTGAGTCCCATGATTGCAGGATCCCGAGCAGTTATGTTCCCAGATCTTACGTTATCATCCACACAGAGGTGAAAAGCAACATGAATTTCAGAAAGATTTGAATGGCGTGTGATGTAGAATTCTCCTACAGAATAAACCAAGAAGGCAAGATATCATGGTAGTGATCTGTACCACAATACAATTGTTACACAATGTAAGGATAGGGTCAGTTAAGACAAAAGGCACATAAAAATATACAAGAGATCAGAACACATACATAAGGAGATTAAAAAAAAGTTAGAAACTAACTGATGTAAAATCTCTTGGAATATCATTGTTTTACATTCATCCTACACTCACTTCCTTGCTTTGATGGGTTTCACTGGCATCACAGGCACCTGGTGTCATAAGACATAACCGTGCCAGTACAGGCGGATACGATCTATATATAGTACAAAACAGAAAAACAAACGCAGAGGAAGTGTAATACTCAAAATATATAATGTAAGCACCGAATTGCAGACAGATGTGGGAGGCGGAAATACCAAAAATGGATGGGTTAAAATAAAGGATGTAAAAGGTCTGTAGAAAAAGATAGTGGGTTACGTAGCAACTGAGATATGTACTGGGAGACAAAGGTACCAATGATCATTAGGATTTAAAATAATTCCTAGTAATGGGAAGATTAGTTACAGAGTTGTTTGCAAAACAAACAAGACATCTTGTTGGTATTTTTAGACTTGGTATTCATTTATGAAAGACTGAGAAAGAGTAAGGGCAGTAAAACGTAGGTCTCTCCATGTTACCTTTCTGCTGGAGATCAAAAGCCTACACCAGAGTCAACAGAAAAGCAGGTATGCCATACCTCTACTGTTTCAGTCAACAGATAGAAGTCTTTCTTCAAAGCTATTCTCACTGGCCAGTTAAGATACTACCTTTGTACTGGGACAGCAGAAGAAGGGGTACATACTCCTTTCTGATGACTGCTAAGGAGGTAGTAACCCCCAGCAACGACCACCTGATAGTAGTAACACAAGCCACTACTGCAAGAGTCACAGGGATTTATCTGTTAAGGACTCAAGTTGATTTATAATCCACTTATCCTAATAAGATCTAGGACAATCATGAAAGCAATTTTAAGAAGCCCTCTTATTCAACCACGGATTGTATGGATTTAACTCCTCCCCCTCCAACTGTGTATTCATCTTTAAATTCCACAGAAGCTTTCCTTACTAAAAATCACAATAAATACAGAAGATACTTCTTCTTTGAGAGGAATGGATTTGTACACTCTCAAAGTTAAAAAATACATTCTAAAATGCTTTACTGTCAAAAACAAAATTAGTTGCTAGTATTTATAAGTTTCATCTTTTCCCAAGATGCTCAGAGGTCTTTTTTTCACTCTCAAATTCTGAAAAGAAATTTTAGGCATAGAGAAGTTAAGTGATTTGCCCCGAGTCACGTGATGCAGTGGCAAAGCTGGGAATAGAAACCAGATGTCCTGACACCCAGTTCTCTGCCTTAGCCACAAGAACATCCTTCTCCTCTGATTGAGGTCAACTCGGGTTTAGTTTATAATTTATGTTCTGACTTTAGAGCTAAAAATGTGCGTCTATAAAATACAATTTGCTTTAAGAAGAGGGGGAAAATGCAACAGAACTCACCTGGCAAAATATTTGACTGGTTTCGTTCAATATTCTTCAATTTATCTTCATTTCCACTACTTTTGTTTTCTGTATTTAAATACATAACGCAAATATTAAACATATCATCTACTAATTACACTTTAGCATGACAGTTTGATATAGTAAGATGATATCTGGCTTGAATTTTTAACGTAACATTGCTATAGAGTCCCCAAAACGCAGGCAGATGGAGAGGAAGTGGTTTTGCAGTCTTCATTAGACATTGAACTGATTCTTACCTCAAATCATTAGCTTTCTTATTTAATCATCCTACGGTATCCTAAGGGCAAATGGTGCCTGACAAATTCAGTGGCCTTCTACAACAGAGTTACAACACTGGTGGATAAGGAAAGAGCAAGAGGGTAGTCCATCTACCTGGACTTGTGCAAAGCATTTGACACTGTCCTGCACAACATCTTTGTCTCTAAATCGGAGAGACATGGATTTGACAGATGGACCACTTGATGGATAAGGAATTGGCTGGATGGTCGCACTCAAAGAGTTGCGGTCAACAGCTCAATGTCCAAGTGGAGACAAGAGACGAGTGGTGTTCCTCAGGGGTCAGTATTGGGACTGGCGCTATTTAATATCTTTGTCAACAACATGGACAGTGGGATCGAGTGCACCCTCACCAAGTTTGCTATGTGGTGTGGTCGACACACTGGAGGGAAGGGATGCCATCCAGAGGGATCTTGACAGGCTGGAGAGGTGGGCCTGTGCAAACCTCATGAAGTTCAGCAAGGCCAAGTGCAAGGTCCTGCATGTGGGTCAGGGCAATCCCACGCACAAGTACAGGCTGGGCGGAGAATGAATTGAGAGCAGCCCTGAGAAGAAGGACTTTGGGGCATTGATTGACAAGAAGCTCAACATGAGCTGGCAATGTGTGCTGGCAGCCCAGAAAGCCAACTGTATCCTGGGCTGCATCCAAAGAAACGTGGCCAGCAGGTCGAGGGAGGTGATTCTGCTCCTCTGCTCTGCTCTCATGAGACCCCACCCAGAATACTGTGTTCAGCTCTGGAGGCCCCAACATAACAAGGACATGGACCTGTTGGAGCAGGTCCAGAGGAGGGCCATGAAGATGATCAGTGGGCTGGAACAGCCCTCCTATGAAGACAGGCTGAGAGAATTGGGGTTGTTCGGCCTGAAGAAGAGAAGGCTCCAGGGAGATCTTATAGTGCCTTTCCAGTACTTAAGGAGGGCCTACAGGAAAGATGAGGAGGGACTCTTTATCAGGGAGTATAGTGATAGGATGAGTGGTAACAGTTTTAAACTGAAAGAGAGTAGATTTAGATTAGATATAAAGAAGAAATCTTCACTTTGAGGGTAGTGAGGCACTGTAACAGGTTGCCCAGAGAAGCTGTGGACGCTCCATCCCTGGAAGCGTTCAAGGTCAGATTGGATGAAGCTTTGAGCAACCTGATCTAGGGATAGGTGTCTCTGCCCACAGCAGGGGGGGTTGGAACTGTATCTCTTAATTTGGACAAACAAAACACAATATTTTCAAACACAATACTTTCCAAATTGCCCCCACAACTACCTAGTACCTTGCTATTGCTTTTAAAATAATGTAACTATTTAAAACAAATATATTCCTAGTATTACAAGAAAAATTCTAAAGAGATTTACATAAATCAACAGTATAAAAACAGCTTTCAGTATTTTCCTCAAAACTACAGCAACATGCAGGTTCCTAAGAACCACACAGGTGGTTCTCTGCAAGAAAAACAGAGTTTCATGCTGTACAAGCACTGCCTTAACACCATGTGGTCAGAAAATTTCACAGCCATTTGTAAACATAACTGCAAAGTAAACCATTCACAAGGATTTGGTCAGCTCTAAAAAGTATGCACATTTAGGCGATTTATTATTCAGTTTTTAGCGTTCACTTCTAAGGAAGGGAAAAAGTCATAAGTCCTCTTCTGCAATTTTTAAAGATTTTCATTTAAATAGAAATAAAAACACCAAGTCAGATAAAGTCTGTGTTACTACAGGCAGTTTGAACTGCTGAGGAAAGCACAATGGCCCCATACCTTTCCCATGCTGTTAAAGCTTGACTGGAACCTAAGGACTTATACTTTTTTTTTTTTTTTGTAAGGTATGTCTGTTATGGCAGCAAAGACATCATGGGAACATGCTGTCTGTGAAGAGATAATCTCATCCAGACTTTTCAGAGTTTATCGATAAACTCGAACATTCCCCCTTACAGATCAGGTAACCAAAGAGTGAAATCAACTTGCTCGTAACCATAAACATTCAGCTGACCACTATTCTATTTCAAGGAAAGTAATTTTGGTTGTCACTGACCATGATGTCTTTTCGACTTACTGCTACGCTGTGCTCTGGCCTTAAGTACAACCTTCTGGACAATTTCAAGCTGTTCTTGAATTCCAGGAAAATGGAAATCTGTACATTCTTGGCAAACAGTTGCAAAATCTAGGAAAAAAATAAGATTAAAATCCACGTCATAAGGCTGTGCTTAGAAACATTACATAACTCTGCTCTACTGTTCAAGCAAGGCCAGTTACAAAGGCAGCCCCCCCCCAACCAGACAAAGCTCTGCTGTACTCCTCTTCAAATTCTACAAAAATTATGGCAGAGAAAACATTTCTTGCCATAAATTAACTGCTTGTGAAAAAAAAGAACTTGAGCGCTGTTGCTCTTCAAACCAAAACACTCAGACCAAATAACCTCCAAATAACAACAATAATATGTGTGTGTTAAATGTAATTGTGCTTTAAAAACAATGTCTTGTTACTAACGGTCCTTTAATCTATGATACTTTATCAAAACATACATAATAGATACTTCCAACAGAAACAACAGCATTCCAGTTTGTTTTGAAAAATGAGAGCTATTAGAGAAATTCACAAACAGATTATCTGGAAAGGTGGAATTACAGTTCTTTCCTTTTAGTTCTCAAAACACAGATCTGAAAGCTAAAGGAAAGTGTCATCAGCTAAAGAGCGCTGCAAGTTCCTTTTCTTGATAAGCAATTATTACGAAAGTCTTGGAAATATTATACTGATAATTAGGATCATAACATACTGTCTCTGTGACTGGTAATCTAAGCTCCTTATCCTAATATCCACCTGCCTCTCCAAGCAAGTCAATGGGAGCCAAAGCAAGCTATTAGAAAGGAGATGGGCTTCACTAAGCAATTGCTGCTTACTTCCTGTTTTGAGGTATCTGCTCTAATCCTCCTTAACGTTCTTAATGTACTCTGATTGCCTATCTGGAGAGCACCACATACTCCTGTGAAAAGACTGCAACAGGAACAGGCAGGGTAGAAGGAAAAATCTTAACGTATTTTATCTTTTTACATGAAGTCACCATAGCAGAATCTATTTTCAAAAGGCTTTATTAAATTCTGGTGTCCAATACCAAGGGAAGAAGCAGCACAATCAAAAGATTGTGTTTTCTATGTGTATCAAGATAAAATGAGGTCACAAGACATTTTATTTGAAACAAATAAAAGACAAATCTCTTGTATTTAAATTAAAATTAACCTTTAGTTTATCTTTTGTCTGAGTGTGCTACAACTACTTGAAACCTGAGTCACAGTAGCCCTACAAAGTCCTAATATAAGAGACCTGAGCTAGGCAATGCATGATGTATATAAAGAAGCTATTCGTCTAGCTTAGAAAAAACAGTCTGAATGAAATTTGCACGTTGAAAGTTCACACATAAGTTCAACTTTCCTTTGAAGGCTGTTTCCAAAGGTATTATTTTGCTAGTTGCCATTTACACATTGTAAGCAATACAGAAAACATTGCACCCCTGGTTTTCAGACTTGCAAATACCTCACAAACATCCTGAATTTTGAGACAAATCGAAACACTTTGGATAAGACACCTACCAAAGATGGTGTCAAAACCAAAATGTTTGCCAGACCAACAGATGGTGTCACAAACCAAAATGTTTGCCAGACACAACAGAACTAACCAAATACACTGAGTGAAGCACATTCTTAAGTTTCCTCAGGATAGACCTAAACAGACAAGGTCAACCAAGTAAGTTAGAGGACTTGATAGAACCGGAGCCCCTCTCCATTTAGTGCTTGCTGAGTGACTGGTGCTGCTCAAAACAATGTAAAATGCTTGGATAAACAGCATGCTCACCTGGAGCTCATTTACTCCAACTAGCACGGAAGCAGGGACTGGTAACCTGGGAT